AAAATTCACGGAACACATGCACTTTAGGCAGTATTTCACTCGGATTTTGGATTTAAAAGGACAATTTCCAGATCTTAGCTTACCTTGCCCTTCTGAGAAATTCACGTGTCACGTCTTAATTTTGAGCTTAATCATGCGTCACGCACAAACCCTTTGCCGCCCTCTACATAGTACCTGTATTCTTTCTGATTTGTTTGAAATAAGAAGTTTTCTTGGAATGCCGTTCACTCCTTCAGAGTTCCTTTTCGTTTTTATCTAGTGAAGGGTACAAATTTTGAAAGTGTACAGAGCCTTTGTTATCCCCACCCCTCTCCCCCTTCAGGGCCTCTTTACTCTCTACTGCGGTTATAGGCAGTCTAGGGAAATGGCCGGCCACAAAGTAGTATTGTAAAGATCCTGAAATCCTTCCAAATAAGGGCCTATGTTCAAGAGTTGAAAAGAGTACAAGTCAACAACAGAGAATATAATCGTACCCCACCCCTGTGGCCAAGGGTTTATTTTCGACATGGGGTAACTGGAGGTTCTCAGGAAAAATAATGCATGTTGATCAAAATACTTTGTGATTTCGACTGAAAATAAATACTATCTGCCGTGAGGACACAAGTAGAAGGATTTGGGGGCAACCTTGTGAAAGTAAAGGTCAATTTGTTTCACTACAGTGGGCGAACTCGCAAAGGTGGTAGGGAACGAACTAACAATTGGACGAAACCTCCATAAAGCTGAGGTGATATGTCACTGTGGGTTGAGTTCGTTGCTGGTTTCTGTTTACTGTTTCCTTTATTTTTCCGTGTTGTCTCTCTAAAAAATATCTCATTTATTATGCATATTTATTTATTTATTTATTTATTTATTCGTGTACATATGCAGTTTGTTTCGGTCGGAAACATAGGCTCTGCTGCAAATCTTTCGTAATTTTTTTTATACCCTATGCTTTTTAAATAGACAAGTCGCCGATAACCGTTCATTCCTCAAGGTGTTCTTATCGATGGCGAAAGTAAGCATAGGTATGTAAAGATGCTGCCTAGAAACTGTAAACGTGAAGGAAAGAAATTAATGTACCTTTCATTTGATATATAGGTAGTTTTCAGTGTAACTTCTTTTAAGTAAATGTCAGGTTTTTGTTAAAAATTAAAATCAGTCATTAGCCAGTTGTTCTTGCTTTATTTTCCGTGTTTGTTAGACTGCTTCTACATTTTACAAGTTTGGTATCTCGTCTTATAGCAAAGCTGGACTTACAGCCGAGTAAATACTGTACATGTAAAGCAGGTTGACGCGGCTGGTTCAATCACCTAAGAGCCACTATGGTTACCGGTCACTTCGCCTGATATTTGTCGGTGAACTGACCAATGGTTTCCGGGTAATGCCACTATTAAGGACATTCCGTAAAGTCGTATCAAGTACCTTAAAGACAATACTCGAGGGTTGCTGCGTTTGAATCCAGTTGGTTTGTCTTGGCCTGTCATTTTGAAACCCCCAAGCTGAATCGCATCCTGTTCGTCAATGCGTCTATCTTTACTTCGAGCTTTTGAATCTGAAGCAATTGTGAACGAGTTCCTTCACGCTTTTCCTAACTCCGTATAACAAGCTGAATGCAAGTGGCGAAAATAAACAACCTCGTGATGTCATATCTAATTTCACTATCTACTCTTTGATTAATTGATTTGTTTTCATTTTTCAGCGCATGCGACGCGTGTTAAAAGAATATTTTCGATGTTCATCTCACCCACGTGTCTTCTGCTTGCTTTGATGAGGATTGCAAGTGTTGTTGGGTTCGTGACTTTGACTCCGACTTTCTTTTACCAGAAAGAGGTAAGTAGTAACACTGAAACATTTCAATAACTTCGCTCAATTACCTTTAAAGTCTGTCCAGTAAGGGTTTGGGTTGTTTCTTGTCTCTGAATAAATTTCTTTTGTTTGCTTTCATTTCAAATTGGCAATCAGAAACCTTTAAATTGTAGGATAAAGGCAGCTGCTTTTAACAGAACAAGGGTGTGCATGCGTCGAGCAGCTATACATTTTCTTTTCAGTGGTTTGGCGTGATATCCGGACAATAACTTCTAGCTGTTACTTAGTTTATTTTCTTCTTTACACTTATCTGCATGGCTGTGTATTGATACTGTAAGAAGGGATTTCTTAACGGTCATTAGTAGCAGTGAAAGGATTTGATTAAAGTCATCTAGTCTTTTTTTTAGGATGATGAATACAGTACATTACAGGAAGTGGATCTCCAGCCCCACAGAAAAGGTCTCAGACCTCTTTACCTTCGCCTGATCATTATTTTTGTGTACACACAAGTTGTCGTTCGCACCATCGCCTCTACAACAACAGACCGTCAATACCTTAGCCAAGTTACTTCTTTTACTGACATGTTACCTGGCAACAGAGTGTGGCGGATCATGCAATTGCTATTAGTCACAACAACCTACATTTATCAGATGTTCAAGGATGAATACCAATGAAAAAAACTCAAGGGAAGGTTACTTCACTTTAAGACACCAAACATTTAAGATGTATATCTTCTTAATGAGAACGAAAAGATGGGTATTAAATGACAAGGGAAAGTAAATGACGGCGCACAAATCCGTGGGGCCCTGGATTGACGCAAGGCATCATGTGGTAACTGGTAACGTGGCGTAATGAAGTCATTCAGTGCGTTGGTATTGATTATAGGTGATAACCATCATGAGCACGATCCTAACAAGGATGTAGTTTGACTTTACTTTTTAAGGCGGACTCACCAACAATATTAGAACGCAACATCGCACTGTTATGTTGCAGTTTTGCTCCAATAAGAAAGGGACATTTAAACCGTGTTACAGGAAAGAATTTGATGTGGAAATGAGAATAGATATGTTGCAATATGTTTCTGTTGATGGTTTAGTCTTTACATCTAGATTAAATACTGAGGAAAAGAAGTATGTGTTGATAGAATTCCGAAACAAGCGACGTTTACGGGTTCGGTGATTGAACAGGAAGTGAGACCCATGTGTGGACTATAGATAGTGTTTTTGTGTCGGGGTAATACGGTTCAGGTTGGATAAATACCTAGATCAGCTCATTCCGTATTTGCGATTGACTTAGGTGCCACAAGCAGGAGCAGAAGAGATGTAGTTGCGGGTATAAGCCGCTATCTTGGTATCATTTATTCCTTACAGGTCATGTTCCATGTAAACCAACTTGACAAAATGAAACTGGCACAGAATCATTTTAAAGTTTCTAAAACTGGTTACAATAAGAAGGATTAATATATCAAGTCAAGTGAAATCGATCAGGCTCCTAAACCGCAATCGGTTGGTTAAGTTGTAAACTTGAACCAATCGTGAATTTGGGTATTATGGACATTGCTATGGAACACTGAAGAAAATGTCATCACATTGGCGGGATCCAACGCTCTCGCATAAAAAATCGAGGCTAGTGGCCAGCCAGTCCAAGATGGCGCCCAAACCTGTAAATTTTTCAGTATCCAGAAAAAGCGATATGAAAAGTTTGTGTTCTCCTGACGTAGAACGCAAACAAAATAAACGAAAAGAAAAAGCTCAAACTGCACAGGCGTTCATACGATCTCCTATGCATCACACTACAGATACGTAACATCGGTTAAAATGTAATCTTAAGCCTGATTAGTGAATCAAAGGCGTATACGCTAATGACCCGTAACGGGTTGAAATTGTTAAGCGCCTCCGTAATTACCAGTGTATTTCACAGGTTTGTTTTTTATAGCGCACGAAGGTCCATCTGGAGTTCCAAATGTGTTGACGTCAGCGCCGTTTTTGGTGGGCAAAATGAGTATTCCATCTTGAGACGCCATGGATGGATCTTCGCTGAAATAGTTGTACGGTCGCAGGAAAAAGCTGGCTGAATTGGCTGCAGTAGCAGTGTTCGGAATATCTACGGAATGAGGTATGTGCATCACGCCCACTGTTACCCAGGCAACCAGATCTTCATTCACTATATTTTCGTTATCTGCAGTGAATTTTGAGAAATCCACAACGGGGTCGTGCATGCTGTTCTGGTTATAAATGGAGGAGCTTCTCTCTTCCTCTTCTTTGCGTTTAGTGACCGTCATCTGGTTCTGTGTCCAGATGGCTCCTGACATTAGTTCCCAGTCATTGGGGTATATTTGTTTCATCATGTCTCGGATGTGGATACGATAACCTCGATTGACGTTCATCTTATTCACGTTTCCATCGCTGAAAAAGTTCAGGTACTTGGGATGTTCAAAATTTTGATGATAGGTGGCTTCTTGTTCGGTCTGCTTTAGGCTGCGACTGAGCACCTTTTGTATTCTTCTGGAGCCTGGAAACCAGGGATTAGAGATGTTTTCCACTTTGATGTCGATATTCTCAAAGGAGTTCTTTCTTCCTCCAATGTCTAAGTCCACTTTGTAGTTGATCAAATGATCGTGAATAGTTCCGGCAACGCCAGTATGAATCTCGGTACCGTACGGAGCCTCGTTTGCCGTCCAATAGGTAGCTTGCACGTAACCACTCGTCGACACCCTGACCTCCACGACACCGTTGGGATAGAACAAATAATCATAAATATAATCGTAGTTGTATGCAGTGGAAACGGAGCGCAAAACTAAAGCATTTCCTGGCATTCCTCCGTAGAAATTGTAACCACCCTCAAAGTCGTTATCAAAATGTCTGCGTAACGGGAGACCAAGGTCAAGCTCAAATAAACACACCGATTTCCGGTAAGTAGCTGGCTCACTGCTGCTTACAAAATGAATTGTGTCGAAGAATGTGGCCGTGCTTGGGCAGTCAATGCCTGGGACAAGTTCAAACTTGCTGCTGCCCATGCCCCAGGAGGCATCGAGATATTCGGTCAACATCTGCATGGGACTCCACCCTGAGTAAAATGCTGCAGCCTCCTGGAGACTGAGTTCATACACGATTCTTTCGCCGTCGAATTTGATATCAAACAGCTGCATCCCAGTGGAACTGCGGGAACGAAAATCAAAACTCCACTTCATGTATTCCACGTGACTTCCGCTGACGGTATAGCGCTTACCATCGGGCTCAACCAGTTGGGGTGGTCTCAAGGGTATCGAGGGTTGTGGTTTTCCTCGCTGAAAATAAGACGAGTACAAAGGCGTTTCACTCGAGGAAGATGGCGCAGGGAGAAAGACTTTGTGTAGAGTGCCGTTCTTGTAACCTTGCATCAGTTCTTCAACACTATCAAATGACTGATTATAATAGAACACTTTTTCAACTTTCCACAGGGAAACATCGTTGCCTTGTGTGTTAAGATAGATCTCAAAGCCAACCGGATGCACGTAGCTTCCCTGTAGTTTCCGAACAAACCAGATCCATTTCTCACGGTGGCCAGACTGTCCGGGTGCAGACTCGGACCATACTAAGCAGCGGTCAGTACAGCCACTGTATGTGTACCCATCGAAGCTTTCCTTCAGCAAGTCAAAGGCTTGTTTTGTTACGTTCAAGACAATGCGTTCTATAACTTCGATATCCTTACCTCCCGGTGGGCGAGAATCAAACGGAATCGGATATTTTTGACCGGGGCCGGTTGTTTCTTCATGTTTGGTCGGTTTCGCAGCTGGACTCACGAGATATTCTTTTACGTCCGGGTTACCTTTTCCTCCATTAAAAATAACGACACGAGCCTTGCGTTCGGGCTTTAAGGCGTCGTTGTTGCTATCGAGAAATGCAAGCGCTTCGTCTTTAAGTGGTTGCTGCAGCTCAATTAAGTAAATGAAGTTCATGTTTATGGCCGCTTGTTCATAAGGTGTAACGTTCATGGACGGCTGGCTCAGGATGTAGTCACGAACAGCGATTATCTCATCCTTGGTTAAGTCGTTGAATAGACCCGTGGAGCGTACTGACTGAAGTTTCAGCCGTGTGTTATCTGGGCAAAAATCATTGGCTTGGGAGGACGATTCATTTTCCAAACTTCCATTCTTATCTCTTGTTGACACCACAATTAATGCGATCAGCAGACCCAATGACAATAATGCAAGAAAGACACAAACAATTTGCAGAATTAAAACTTTTCTTCGCGCATCTTTAGCCATGATGCGAAACACCTTATATCATAGTCGAGCCAGACCTCGCTCGTGCGATGTTTATGTAGTATGCTAATTGTCTCCTCATCACGAAACATACGTAGATGACAAGGTAGATGTCCGTTTACCGTTCTTTATTTTTCTCTCGTTTTACGTTACATTGCTAGGGTTCCATGTCTCATCTTTGTCAGATTATCATTCCATCTTGGTTCTGGTTTGTGTCAGTCGCAAAGCTGTGATTTGAACTTTCAGACATCATATTAACAAATATAACCAACATAATAATGACTAGACATAGTTGTTACACAAAATTGCCCCCAGCCGTTTTTTAACACTCGAGTGTGTTGAAACTAAAAGCTGGGTCCATCTGTTATTGAGACAATTAAAAACATTTAGCGGGAAAGAATAATTGTGTACTTTTCAAAGAACGTAAATAAGTGAATGAAAGTGATCCTCGCAGTAATGTGCACTACTTAGGCAGTAGTGAAAATAAGGCCTGAATTTTTTTTCAGGCCTTATTTTCACTACTGCCTAAGTAGTGCACATTACTGCGAGGATCACTTTCATTCACGTCTTTATCCGCAGTTCAAATATATGACTTTCATATATTCTTAACCATTTGAATGTAAATAAGTTAAGAATCTTTCTTTCCTTTCCCTTTTTTTTCAGTGGAGGCAATTATATCGATCTTGACGCAAACATTTTCATGACGATTTAATCCATGTGTGTTATCTTGATGTGAATTAACGCTGTAAGAATCCAGATATTGGATATTGTCACGATAATACGTCACGAAATTTTGCGGAAAACTAATATCTACGTCCACCACTCTTCAGTCCCCCACCCCTACCCCTCTGCTTGTTTTTTTACCGTCGACTGCCCCTTTGGTACAAATTTCTTTCTCTCCCCACCCTTCCGCTGCCATTAAAATCAAAGAAGGCGGCTATAATTTTCGCTAAGAAAATACTGAGCACTCGTTCACTAAAAAATTACACCTGCTCTACAGGCTACGTCCACAAGGACTCTGGTGAAGCGATTCCATGCTCAAAATTGATTTCCTTGACTTATTATAATTTTAATTGTGTATCAAGTAAGTTGTAATTTCGTTACCCTTTACAGTAAAAATTTTTCTACCGTCTAAGTAAAGCATTTACGTCACCATTTAAGTAGTAGTAGTCATAGGAATCGAATTAGTTTTGCGAACAGTGATATTTCAAATTAGGTATTTCCAGGGCGTAAAGCGCGTAGGAACATATTAGTAAGATTGTCAAGTAAAGCTATGTTTGATAGGAAATTCTTACCCACAAATCGTTATAGAACAACGTGAGCAAGTCTTGAATCCCGCACGAAATTGCGTATCTGGGTGTAGATTTCTTAAGCTAATGAATGTAGAAATTTTTGTAACCCTAAGTTAGATTGGAATAGAATAGATAGATCGTAGAACGGAACGTGTAATGCTGAATTGTCGACAATAAAGCCTGAATCAAGTGAAAGTATACATGAAGTAGTTGCTGTGAAAGTATACATGAAGTAAGTGCTGAGTCACCCTTGATTACTTGTCGCGTGACGTGCCTCTTCGTCATGTGACTTTTCTTGGTGGAATAAATATGTGGCACACGACTAATTCAACACTGGTGAAACCGTCATGACGAAATTTGCGTCGCACCTGTTGCTCGCTGCAGTATTGATAACTGCTGGTAACTCACAGATTCCTTTACCTAAACGTCCGCTGGGTTTTGTCTATAAAGGAGGCGAGCCGACTGCACCAATTCACTTGGAAGCATTTGTTGATTTGACTTGCCCGGATTGTCAACAAGCATGGCCGACTCTCAAAAAAGTCGCAGATATGTACGGTCCTGAAACTGTCCAGTTTACCTTGCAGTTGTTCCCGTTGCCATATCACACAAATGCATTCCTAGCGGCACAAGTGAGTTGAAAAAATATATATCGGCTTGTCTATACTCGTATCATCAGAGTTATGTAACATGTAACGTTACAACAGCCCTAGATCATGAACAGAGGTAACACATTTGGGTAAGAAAAATTCTAAGGTTACTTTAAAGGAAAACTTTAACTCTAGGCACCCTCATTCTTTGACGTTATTTAGCATGCGCATGCAATTTCTCGCTGCAGGATTTTCAATTTTTATAAACCTCCGTGACATGACGTAATTAAACAAGCTTATATATCGCAACTTGGAGACAACAAAGTGTAGAAGATCTTGGAATTAAAAAAGCTCTAGGTACTCACCACTCAGTCGTTGCTGTAATAAACTCTAGCAGTTATATACATTACTGGTACCAATTTGTCCATGTCCCCCACCCTCTCCTCACCTTTTGGCTCATGTCACTCCTTCAAAAAACTTCAATTTATTAGTTTCTTAGAATAATTTCTGTACTATTTTTACAGTAGCTCATAAACGACCTCCCACTTCTTGTATTATCTGCAAAATTTCTGGAAGAGGTCTACTTGCGTCTAAATCTAAAAGCAGAAATTATACTGGCCAACATTTCCTTCAAAAGCAAAAACCAAGATTGATGATCAAAACTGCTTTTGAAGTGTAATGACAAACAAACTAACCCTTATTCAAACACAGAACTAGCTCTTGAGAGGGAAAACTCAAAACTGCATTGTATGCCAATATGCCAAGGCTAAGTTGGAAAACATAAAAAAGAATGGCCCACTCTTCTTTCACAAATACTGAAAAGCAAACATCAATAAGGAGAAAAAAAAACAGAATACCAAAGGGGTAACAAACATTTTCCATTTTACATTTTCATTTTCCATTTTCCCTGTTCAGTTTCATAAACCATTTAGTCATGTCAGAGCTGAAAAACTGATTTTGAAAATGGCTAAGACTGTTAAACCCAAAAAACCTAAATCTTAGTATGATGCCCCTAAACTTGTAGCAGTACTGCATCATAACAAAATTTTGTTTCCATAGGTATCTTGTGGTCTAGTCATCTTCTGAAATTTACCTTTCCCCTTCTCAACTTAAATGATTGCCTGTGACTATGCGACAGAAATTTAAGCACAAATAGTCAGTAGACTGAGAATTATCTTCATTCACGCTAAAGGATTAAGCTAAGTCATCTTGTTTTGGGATCAGGCAGTTAATTGAATCACTATCCTTCAAACATGAAGCAATAGACTATTACAAAAGAAGAATTTGACAGAATATCTTCCAAACAACAGTCCATTAATCAGCAATAACTAACAAACACTAATGAAATATAGAAATAATCAAAACTGCCTATGCTGTGGGTGAAAGGGAAACTACTTCCAAAGTTAGAAGTCAACTTGTTTGCTTTCTAATGCTTGATTGCTAATGGAACAAACTCAGATATCTAAGCAGTGATTTACAGAAATAATTTTGCAATAAAACTCTGTATTAGCTTGCACAACCACTGGTCCTATCCAAGTGTTATGACTTGCATTCGCACAAATTGCTCAATCTAGGAAGAGACCTCATCGCTCTCATATCAAGATTCATATTAATGAGATTGATTTTCACTAATTGTAGGTTAACAAATAATTGTATGTATACATATCAACAAAGACATTGTGCTATTTTTATTGCTACCATGAAATGATATGTAGTTCAATTTCTCAGAGCTACTTATAAATCACATATAACTTTCCAAATTTTTTAGAGTGTATTTTATATTTATTTCATGATTCAACTATTGGATGGTTGATTTTTCTAACAAATTTTACTGCAAAGGTTTGGTAACACTGTGTTATCTAAATATACTGCATCCCGCATTGAAGTGTTAGAAACAACTTTGATTAATTTTCAGAGTGTTTATGCTGTGGAAGCTTACAATACTTCCCTTGTGATAAGCTGGATGGATGTCATATTTGAGAACCAGAACCAACTCTATGATTTCCAGACTATGGACAAAAACAGATATGATGTCATAAAGTAAGCCTTTTCTCAGTAACAGATTTTTTTAATATTAGACTTCCTATCACTTTGAATGAAAGCGTAATCCTAACTTGCTTCTTTATCCTTAAAACCGCAATTCCAAAATCCTCAGCTGCCAAGTTTAGAAATGCAGGATTTTTTTGTTGCACATGCAATTTTGTTCACTTTTTCCTTAATTTTTACAAACTCTTAACACCCAGGCCAATGATGTTGCATCATTTTCTCTTTTCTCTCATACCTGTAGCATCATTGCTGATTTAGGAAGTAAAATTGACATTGACAAGACTGTTATCAAGGATGGACTTACAAACACAAAATATAATGAACATACAAGAATCTCTTGGAAATATGGTTGTTCAAGTAAGTTTAGGACTTGTTAAGTGCTCAGCTAGTCAAATTACATTAAGATCAGTGATAAACCTAATTTCAGATCTAAGTAATACAAATCTGTAGTTTATATTATGTCAGCCCAAAATATTTCAAATCATACCATCAACTGTAACAGACTAATTTTAACTTAGCAGCTTGTGTAAGGTGTTATGCCATTAGTTTCAGTGATTTTACAATGTTTGTTTTTGCTTGGTACTCTCCAAGCATCTGCTATTTAAATTGATAACAAACCCAAGTTACTGAGTGACTTTAAATCTGTTATGATAAAACAACTACAATGATCAAATTAACAAAACACAAAATGGATGATAAAACATCAACCAAATATCTGTCAACTCTGGCCAGGCCTAGCTTGTAGGCCTGGGGCCAATTAATTTATTTCCCTAGAAATATGAACCACTCATAGCACTGTAACTGACTACAGTCCTGAAGAAAACCCTTAAAAATGTCCAACTGTGGAATGGGAAATGTAATGTATGCTTTATTGACTGTTCCCACGATGGAGCTTTTCACATTGTAAATAAGCCTAAATTGTTACAAATCCCAACTTAAGCCAGAGGTAGATCAGTTGGCTAAAATTACAAAGTGCAGCTAAGGAGTTAAACCTGGGGCAAATGAGAACAAATCCAGTGAGTCACAGCCTGGAGGTCTTTAACTTGTGACCAACAGATTTCAAGCCTAGTGCCGTAACCTATGACTGGGCCAGACTGCCTCCATCAATGATGACACTATATGATAATCTCTCACACTCCCAGGAGT